TTACCCTGAGTTGCGTGCATTATATCTATGCACACATTTCCATAGGAACTAGAACAAATGCTTACTCAGGAAATATATGATAATATATAAAAAAAAAAAAAAGACAAAAAATTGAAATAGTATGTAGTGGTAATTTAAATAGTATAATGTCCCTGCTGTATTTCTTCCATCATTAAATACTTCAGAATTCATTGTGTTAGTTTAGTTTAGGAGTGAGCATGAATTTTCAGTTAATTCACACATCAACGCTAATGATAAATAGGAGGACACCAATGGGACTGTAAGACCATACAACATTGTTAGAATAACAGGTTTATCCTTTATATTGCCAGTATGGGAGAAAGTGGAGTCAGGTATAAGTAGGATAGTAAATAGGTGAGTCTGCAGACCACATCTGAGGACAGCTACGTTAGACTCTTCATCTCTGCAGGATAATGATTTTTAAAATTTAAAATATAAAATTTATTTCAAAATAAACATTTGTCTATTTTTAGAAAACCATTTAGTTGAATGAACACTTCAGCTGAATGAATACATTTTGGTTATGGATCCATTACAATTCTGTGCCTGGCAATATGTATAGTCTATGTCTGGTGAAAATTGATTCCGTGGTTTTACCAAAATTGGTATATCAAAATTCTGGGCTTTGGGGTTGCTTGTCCAGATGAGCAGAAAGATGCAAATTGCTTTTCAAGTCTTCCAAAAATTCTCATAGTCGCTGCCATTTTACAGAAATGACGAAGCCAGGATAATGCTGCCAACCTGGCAGCTATAGCGCTGTTTCAGTGCCAGGGAGTAAAACTTCTTGTAATTTTAAAACTCTGTGTCAAGCATGTTCATCCGTTGGTCAGTAACAACACATTTTGTTTCAATATCTCAAGTTGTTATGGCCCAAAGGTGAGAGCAGTGAGTACTAAAGCTCAGTGATGATCTGTGCTGCTGGCTGCCGTTTGGAAAGTTTCATAGATTCTCATTTTCAGTGAGGTAATTTAGGATAGCCATTGTCAGGGATGTTTGATTCTTGTATTGCCCAGCAGAAGTGTAGTGCAGTATCCTCCTTTCTTGGTCGTCTTTGATATTAACCATTTTATGATAAAATTCTCTTTTCTAGAAGGTAAATGGACTCACACACATGGACAATTGCAATTGATGTGAAGATATTAGTAGCGGGTTCCCCAAAACTCCTTAGTTAAGGAAATTTGTATATTTATATATAAAGGTAATCAATCACACATATATGGGTCTGTTGCTGATATTATCTATTGCTAGTTCATTTGCATCCATTTAGCAAAAATTAGCATATTTATAAGTAATTTTTCACTGCTGGACCTACTGTGTAACTACAAATATTAAATTAAATGTGAGGAAAAAATTATTTCTTTCTTGTTTGATTACTGCCAACAGATGCTCAATGGTGTGTATAAATGTAATGCCATATGTCAGATAAGGCAATGCAGTAGTTTTTCGGTGGTGGTAATAATGTATCTTGCTTTACTTAATATTTGTCTAATGATGGCATATGGAGGTTCCTACTGATATACAACAGTATGGGGAAACCGTTCCTTTTTAAAACAGATTAATCTTCCTCTCTGTTATGAAAGTACAGCTGAGCTCTGACTACAACTAGAATAGGGATGAGACAAATAAAAAAATCATTTTTTGTTTATTAATTTTGTTCATGTGGTTTCATTTGGAAGAAAAAGATTTCCTTCATGGTGAATGGAAGCCCTTTCCTTTATTGTGCACAAAAGAGGTTTGAGCTTCCTTGGATTGACCTTTAGGTGCTCCAGTCTTGTTTTTGTAATAAATGCTGAAATCATGACTGTGGTTTTGTGTCAGATCTTCCCCTCTGATTTCACTTTTTTCCTTATGCAATTTGCATGCGACTCAGCTTCCACTCCAGAAATTCACATACAGTATGGAACTATCACTTCTAACATGTGTCAATGACATATTTATGAACTAGTATTTAGCAGCAATAGTACTATCAACTGTTTTTCAAAAAAGTCCAGAAACTGTTTAGAAATTTAATAATGATTTTAGCAATGTATTTTGCCTCTTCTCCAGACTCCACTTTATTAAAACCATTCAGTAACTCTGACAAGGTGGCAACAGGCTTCTGAGTTCATTTTTAGGAGAAAATGTTTCACAAACAGGATAGTGACAGGCTTTTATGATTACAGATTTCACATATTCTGTTCCTACAAAAGGGATTATATAGATTGATAGATCTACAAAGAAAGAAATGAAAAAATGAAGGGAAGAGATATAAATAGACTTTTTCATTAGGATGAATGATGGAAGGTATTAACCCCACTACAGCAGTGTGCCTTTTACATGTCTTCTTTTTCATTCCTTTTGACCTGCTATCATCTTCCTTCTAAGTAAAAGTTAACTACAGTCTGAAATGTAGGTAAGGTGAGCAATAGCTGGAAATAAATGTTTCCTCAAGCATTATTACTGTTCAGAAAAGTGTCCATCAGCCGAAATGTCAGGCTCAAAATCCATTTAAGCACTGCACAGAGGCTAAACAGGCAGCTATTATTAATTTTTAAGTCTGCTTGACTGGTTTCAGACCAAGAACTGGGGTAACGATGCACTGAATATCACAGATTATATTTAATTAGGAAGGTTTTGACTCTCAGATGGCTGAGGATTTTTTTGGCACAAACTGTTGCAAAAATATGATAGAATAGCTGCATCTACCTAAGAAAACAATCTGCTGCATCATATTAAAATGCATAAAATTGCTCTTTTGCTGCAGTTTCTTGGACTTTTATCCTAATGTAATCGCTGTCTACTTTTCACTTGACTATTTTGAGGCACCACTGTACTTCTCTCTTAAATAAGTTTTTGTTCATTATGCTGCAAGTTAACAACGTGAATTTTCCAGAATAAGTCCTGTTCTGCTCAGCTCATTATCAAACCAAACCATTTCCCCACTGTGCCTTCCACAGATGTTTCTTCATTTAAAATATATCTGTGGGATTGCCATGAATGAGTTAACATTTGTCTTTAAAGTGTATCTATAAGCATAGAGGACTCTAAAACAAAAGGGGGTATTGAGGAACAAATTAACAGAAACTGAGATACTAAAGGGCTATTTATTTGCTCTGGATTGGACTCAGGATCAGAGTAACAGATCAGAAATTATATTCTCCAGTGGCTGTAAAATCTCCTAGCTATCTATTCTGCTTCCCTGTGTTTGCATGTGGGTGTGCATGTACACACACTATTATTCTTCTAAAGGAACTGTAGTTTGTGTCTTCCTTATCAGTCTGATGGCCTTCCCAACAATTTAATGAAGCCTCCTTATTCCAGGAATTTAGTTAGCAACTGTCTCATAAACAAAGTTTCCAGATATCCGTATGAAGCCCTAGCTACTGTCATGACTCACCACAGCCATACGGAAAGTTGTCGTCTCTGGATTTCACTGACCAAAACCTCTGTTTATACATCTCAAATTATACTGCCACGCTGTCCTCTGCTGTTATCCTGTGTTGCCAGTTCCTGACTAATGGGCAATTCCTAGCTTTCCAAGGGATGAAGGGGTCTGGGCTTTTCCTTTTCCTCAAGAGCTACATTTCATGTTGCTTCTCTGAATGTTCATATTTCTCTTTTCAGCACCAGTCTTTGTCTAGGCTCCTTGCTCCTTTTCACAGTACACTATGTGCACAACATGCTTATGATTCCTTCTCACTCAGTTTTATCCTGGAATCTCTTTGATATAATTTTGTCCTATTAGAAAACTAAATGAAAGTGTTAAAATACATTTGACGCTGATGTCTATTGCATTATGATTGAGAACCAAACATTGCACAGATTGTAGCAATGGAAAAGTATTTTGTTTATGGTCCTTCGCACTGTTTTCAAACAAGAAGTCTACTTTTCCACCACAGCCATGATTTACTTAAATTATGTTTTCAATAAGATTTTCCAGATATTATCAAATGCTTTTCTACAAAATTAATTATTTTTTTCTACTATATTCATTTCACCCACTAGTGCTATTCTATGAAGAAACAAAACAACTATGTTAAGATTTATGAATAAATATTTGGTTGTGTATTATTTATCCTATAGCCATAAAATGGCATTGGCATTTGTTCCTTTTTTTTTTTTTTTTTTTTTTTTTTTTTCCCCCTAGTGGTAGATATTTTACTGTTTAACTCCTCATATATGAAAGGAAGTGACTAACATGATCACATTGTCTCTTTTTCTAAATAGACCTGTTCTTGTATTTGCTCCTCTTTGCTCATCCAATATTATCCCATTCTCACTATTGCTTTTACCAATCATTGTGTTAGTCATGTGGGCATGGTGACCCTGTTTGTCAGTTCTTATAATCTCTTTTCACACAGCATCCTACCAAAATGTTTGGCATATTATTTCAAATGTCCATTTAACAACTTTTGATAAATACTTTTTCAAAGGTGTGCACATTTTCAAACAATATGGGTATGTATATAAGGGTCTCATTCATAAAGGCAGGTTAAGAAAATGGCGTCAGCATTTTAGATGCATGGTCTAGTTGTAAATGTTGAACAGGTCTATCTAACTATGGATCAGAGTGAAACTGCAGACTGGAAATGTCTTGATCTGTCATCTCCTTTAACTTCACTGCTGATAAAAGCTGTCATTTGGAAAAACAGACTAAATGGCTTCAGGAACTTTGATTCAAAATTAAACATACACACTCAAAAGACTTACATAAATATATATATATATGCATTGTGAATCCCATGATTTTCAGCAGTGTGACTGGCTCATACAAGAGGTACACAGACCTCTATGAAGAAGGTTAGTAAGTACAATCCTGATACCCATATAAAGTGGTAGTACCTAAATAAGTATGTCTTTGAACACAATTGGTTGTGTACATGAATGCCAGATTCTGTAATTTTTCAAACTTTGTTCTTTGCCTTGGCAGTTAATGCAAGACTAAGTCTCACCCCAGGTACTGTGGCTCCAGAGATGGAGAGGTGTGTATCAGTACTTACAGCTGTCCTCCTCCTCCATGAAAATACTGATCACGTAACAGGCATACACAAATCCAATCAGCTGCATGAAAGAAGAGGAAAAGCAATCATTAGAACACACTGAATACTTATTAAGATTTTAGTGAAATGGTATATAAGTACAGGTATCACAGCTAAATTTTAAAAAGATTTACTTCCATTTCCTGTATTTATATGTAAATTCCAGTGCAAATGGTTACAAACAGCTAAATTAAAGAGACTTTCTCCCTTTTGCTCATGTTGTATTATGTTTTAAAATATTTTCCCAGTCCCACTGAGATCAGTACTGGTGAATAATACTATTGAGTAATACTGGTAGAAAACAGTTGGACCTTGATGTTCAGCTATGACTTACATCCCTTTGTTCAGCACCTCTGTTCTCACATGACTTTGTCCACATGAATGTGGGCACCCTACCCACCTAACTGTATTAAAAGGATAAAATATTTATTGACTGCTATGGAATTAAGTCATATTAAAGCTTTTGGAATCCACAAGAGATGTCTTTTTGTGTTTCATAAAGCGTCCCAGCGAAGAACTGTTTGGTATAAATTTAATTTGATATGTGAAGTGTCATGATGTAGCTGAACAGTAAAGCTGCTTTATGATTCATCAGCATCAGGAAACACCTTATCAGAAGAGCCTGCCAGTAAATCACATTAACTATGCAAGAAATGAACGGACTCATTTTCCCAAAAGGACAATACCAGCAAAATCATGCCATTATTTTAAAAGCAGCTCCCACAAAAACAACCTCCTCAACCTGGATCTGTGTCACTTGTGCCACTGAGAGGAAAAGATTAAGATCTTTAGGATGAAGGAATAGAAACTCCGCTCATTTGCTTTCCATATAGAAAAAATGTTTTCTTATGACCACCACCAAAGAAGAAGAAAATCCCACTGGACAAGGAAACCTATTAAACTGCACTGTCCAGACATATCCATGCTTGAGAAAATATTGTTTGTGCAGCTGTACACAATTCATGCTATCAGAAAGACTTGAAAAGACTGTTCATGAGAGATTTCTAAAATAAGCCAGAGATTAGTTTTAAGAAAACTCCTTTTTCTCTGGTCCATTCAAAAAATCTAATTAAAATAGTTCTTCTAAGGGTGTCATGGATCAACCATCTGAGAAAGAGGTAATTTAATAGTATCTACACAGGTATAAGCTCCTTCAGAGGCACAGAAATCATTTCAACTTGCTTTATGGTTGGGCTGCACGAGGAGCTTTACAAGCATCTCCAAGAGCCTCTCTGCAGACAAAAAGCTTGTCCACACAAGGGAATTCAGGGAAGTTAAGATGAATTAACTAAAGCTGTGAAATCAACTCATGTAAGATAAAGTACATTAAATCCCTGTGTGGCCTTTCCCATTCAAAAATAAAGTGGCCTTAGTTCACTGTAGCTTAATCCTCCTCCAAGGGATTAATTTTCCCCATGAAGAATTAAGCTACAGTACGCTAAATCTGGGTTACTTGTGAATGAGAGCTGTCGCAGCACTGTGGTACAGTCCTGTTGGAGCTTCCTCTGCAGGGCATTCACTTGGTGCTTCAGGAAAGTGAGTTTAACCCAACTTTCCTCTCACTCTGAGTAGGCTGCAGTATTGGCAGTTTCCTTGGCTTTTTTGGGGTACAGTTTACTGGGGCAGTATTGCTACAGCCTCTATCAGGTGGACACCTCTTTGTTGTACTGATGCTCTGAGCCAGCAAAATGCAAACCAGCTTTGGAGGAGGCACTCACTGGAGACTTCTAGGACCAAGCTATGCCTGAGCTACAAAGCCCCAGTGTGCCTGGTGTCATGATGCCTAGAGCCACAGCGGGACTGGCTGACTCTGTGTGAGCTCACCTGCTGAAAACTGTGCAGGTGGATAAGAGGCGTCCAGCCTCCTGCTATTAATGAAAATGGGATCTTGTGGTTTTGCTCCCCTTCACCTCCAGAACCAGTACTGGCTTACAGACTCCTTGACAGATTAAGGACATTTTTTCCCTAAACTTCAAGTTTACAGCACCTTTCAGGCATGACAACTAAAGTAATATAATATAAAGGCATTCAAGGGATCAAAAAACCAATCATACTTGAGGTATATTCTTGTGCCACCTGAATGTTACATATATATTATAAATTATTGCCTTAATACTACACAAATACCAGAAAACCGGTGACCTTTCATGAGGGAATGTCACCTGTTTATTTACAGTGTTTCCTGTTCACCATTCCTGTTGTGCAATTTGGCTGTGCAAGTCACTTGGGTTTGTTTCTTTTCCCTAAACATGACTGAAATATTTTGAAGAGTAAAACTACTGAGTAAATAATGAATGTGATAAAAATGAATTGCAGTACATCTTGTGGGTTAAATGTTTGAGAAGGAAGATCAAATATTTAAAATTATTCACCATTTTCTAATCATGCATTTCTTTATCTTCTTATTAGTATTCTGTATTAAATTAATTTTACTTTTGTAAATCCAGTTCCTTCTTTACGTGTACATGTGTGCTCCATATCCGTGTATATTATATAAAACACCTATCCATGAGGACTTCCAGCAAATTTCTCACATGTGTCTTAAGATGTTGGACAGGTGGATAAAGCACAGAAAGATACTTCCACTCTAACATGTAATAAGCCCCCTGACACAACAAAGAAAGCAACAGAGTAAAATACTCTGAGGTCTTCCATCTGAAAAAGTATAGGGCATGGCAAGCCTTATTGTTTGAACAGTCCTAACAGTTTACATCTTGCTCTTTCAGTAGACCTTCTCCTTAAAGTAAATATTTTCCCACTCTTCAGTGTTTGAAATACACTTTGTCTAATCTATGACCTTCTTGCAAAATCAGCAGCTGTTGGGATTCAAGAGGACTTTCTGCGAGAGAATGGACATGTGAGCAATCCTGCGTGAGAACAAGACTGATAAGAGCCTCAGCCTGACCAAGAATGCGATAAGGATGTGACCCTGAATGAGGGGGGAGAAACTCGAGGAGACAAACAACCCCTGGAAGGGGTAGGGATGGAAGAGGAAGTTACACAAGGCAGGAAGCCTGGCAAGGCTGATGTGGCACTTTTTATCCAATCATAAGGTTTAAAGCACGGGCTAAGTTAACTGTCCAATCTTGAGGACTTGTACTGCATGTTACTCACATGTGTGGGAGAACGTTATAAAAGGGCTTTCTTAGCTGTAATAAATGGGCACTGCTTGATCACATTGGTCATGTATGTGCTCAGCTCTCCCACAAGCAGCCTCTCTCTGATCAGTACTTCTTTGTATTTCTCATAATTAGTAGATAAATATTCCTTAGTCAGATAGAAATCATGGCCAGCTGTTGTGTTTATGGCATATACTTGCTTAAAATATACCATTTCCCCCCATCTGTTTAGTTATTAATACTAG